CCACCATGCTCACCCCTAAACCATGTCCCTAAATGCCACATCCACATTTTTGAGCACTTCCAGGGATGGTGACTCCACCACTGCCCTGGGCAGGACTGGACAATCCTTTTTCTGTGTTGAAATTTTCCCTGATCTCCAATCTCAGCATCCCCTGGTGCAACTGGAGGCTGCTTGCTCTCATCCTGAGGAATTCAGCTGGGGTTTTTCCTCCTGGCCCCCATTCCTGAGCCTCTGGGCTCCTTCCCTCTCCTCCTTGCCCTGGGCTCTCTGTCCCAGGCTGTCACCAGGGCAGGGCTGAGCTGTGCCAGCAGCTCTGGGGGTTGGCACTGCCCCCAGCACCAACCTTTTCCTTCCCTCTTCAACCTGCTTTGACCCCAGGAGCAGCAGAGTGATGGACAACTGCTCCCAGGCTTTGAATTGCATGATCCAAGGTAGAAAAATCCATTTTTACTCCGAAAAAAACATTTCATTTCCTGCCAGTGCCCACAGGGTGGTTTCTTTTATTTGCATTAGCATGAGAAAGTAACTGAAACATTATTTTCACCTACACAATATCAATCATTTAATAACTTCCTGTTCAATGCCTCTTCCAAAAAATCTCAGATCCTGAATCTTGTATTACCTGGTCACASCTATCATGTTTCTTTTAGAAGAATTTGAGTGGATTAATGAGCACCTACCATTTAGTTTTCTGCAGCACCACAATGCTTTTCCTCTGATTTCACATCTCTGCCACTSTAATTCCTTATTTACATTGCTGTGTGCACAGCAGATGTCCTCAGTGATGACTTGATCTCTCCTCCTAAATCTCTGTGCAGGATATGTCAAATTGTATTTTTAAATAGAGATTATCTTGTACTTTCACGGATTGAATTTCATGTTGCTAAGTTACCTATTTTCTCAGGTTTGAGGTTATTGTTTTATTTTTTTTTTACTTCCTTTTGCCTGTTTCATCCTCTCTCCCGATTGACCTACATAATCCTCTGTCATCAGCAGGTTTTGGTGTGCTGCCCTTTCCTCTTTACCAGGTCACCAGAGCATCAAACAGTGCCAGCCCCAGCCCTGGGCTCAGAGCTCACACTGGGATTCTCCTCCCTGTAGTAGTAACTCCTTTGTTTTGTTTTGTTTTGTTTTGATCCCCCAACTGTGGCTGGAGTTTCTTACACATCACATTGCTCACTCTTCTCTCAGGCACAGTTTGGGATTGTTGGGGTGCCCTGTGCTGGGTCAGGAACTCACTGGATGATCCCTGGGGGTCCCACCCAGCTCAGSCTGTTCTGCCATTCCACGATTTTTGAGCAGTTAATTACAGGAAYGATGAACCCTGAAGAGTGTCCTTGACAACCTGAGATCCCGATTTCCCTTCTCGCCTCCCCTGCGCCTCTCGGTGCGAGGATTCAYTGAGGTCACGTTTCTGGTCCCTCTGCCTGCTGGGCACTCACTGCTGGCTGCGAGGGGCTCCTGGGCTTCTCTTCTGGGTTTAATGAGCCATCAGAACCTGCAGAGCTCCCATGAAAACTCCAAACTCCACTTGCCCTGGAGCAGAGCAGCCACAGCTCCTGCTGTTCCTAATGCTGCCCCTGCCCAGGCTCCCCAAAATGCTGCCCCTGCCCAGGATCCCCAAAATGCTGCCCCTGCCCAGGCTCCCCGAGCTTTGCAGATCCACAATTCCACCCTCGGTGACCCGGGGAATGGCCTGGCTGTGACATGACCTGGCTGTGACATGGTCCAGCTCTGGGGCAGGTCCTGGCAGGGATCACCCCTGGTGCCGTGGGATGTCCTGGCTGTGACAGGTCCTGGCAGGGATCACCCCTGGTGCCCTGGTGGTGTCCTGGCTGTGACAGGTCCTGGCAGGGATCACCCCTGGTGCCCTGGTGGTGTCCTGGCTGTGACAGGTCCTGGCAGGGATCACCCCTGGTGGTGTCCTGGCTGTGACAGGTCCTGGCAGGGAGCACCCCTGGTGGTGTCCTGGCTGTGACAGGTCCTGGCAGGGA